CACATATATGTATCTCGGTAACCGTTCTACCAATTTGTACCAAACTCGGTGTGGTTATTGTACTTGCCACATAGAAGCAAAACGTTGAAACTTATTGAAATCGAACTAAAATTACGGCCGCTTTTCATATAACAGTAAATTTCAGATATGCTTGAAACTTCAATATTTCGAAATTTAAGGACGCTAATTTACTCAAAATGGATACACCTCGGTTTACCATGTAGCGGTAGCTTTCGGAAAGGTGAAAAACATATATTTAATACTTGCGCCGGGTATTTAATGTTCGGCTCCGCCCGAACTTAGACTTTTTTACTTGTTTAGTGTACAAAATAAACGCAAATTAAATGAGTTTGTACAACATGGCCACTAATGTAGCGATAAGTTGTACAACTTGCCAGAAAATCCAAATTGTTTGATCTTTCATACACCCGAGACATAAATTCATTCAACAGGCCCACAAAAGGTGCAATCTAGAGCAAAACAACATCAAGTTGAACCAACGGTCGCTACGTTTAACATCGGGCGAAAATTTCAACTGTTCCTGTAACACTACCTCATATAAGTTGGCCTTGCTATCATCCTCACATACATAGTGATAGAACGATACGAGTACCGAGTACAGAACATCGATACTTTTCATGAGTACTGAGTAGTATCGGCAACTCGTGCCATGGTCCAAAAGGAGTAGTTGTCGAGGTCGTCCCATATTATGCAGCGGTAGACCAGAAGTGGTCCCATGTTATGCAGCAATGATGAAAATAATTGCATAAACAAATAGATTCTCTAAGTGCATTACATAATGTAATTCGATTTTTTTACTTGCCTTCCTTCTTATATTTAATTTTAGAAATAAACCACTAAACGCTCGCTATAAAATGATTCTCAAATTATATTATTTAAAATATTTTTGAAATATATTTTCTTAAGTAAAAATTTTTTTTTAAATTTCTTCAAAGAATATGGTAGCTTCAATTTAAAAGAAAATTTCACAAGCACAGTTTACGTAAAAAAGGGGCAATGGCGAATAAGAAGAAGAAGAAGTGAAACTACCTTTAAATATTTGCATCGTGATATGTACATACATACCAGGGTTGTTGCGAATATTCGCGTTCGCATTCGCAACCGCGGAGCTTCCGCATTAATTTTAACAATCGCATTCGCAAAAATCAATGCGGATCTTTTGCGAATGCGAATATTGAAGGGACCGAAAATTACAGTTATTTTTTTACGAGTTAAACTTGGCCAAATATTGGTTATTTTTTTTGCCGACGGTGTTGTTACATTCTTCCATACAAAACCGCTTGTCGAACATAGTAATTTATATGAAAGAAAATGCGTGACGCCGTCAGCAAAGAAAAAATTTAACGGTATTT